AATATAGAGTTGAGAGTTTTGGACTAAAAGTCAGGATATGTCAACTTCTGCTGCATCACTTTGGAGCATTTTTTTTATTTGATCTGTCTGTCTCAGGTCCCCTAATTTTTTGAAAGTGCAATATCAAATTGTTGGAGTTCGCAATTGCAGTTGGTTAAGTGAAATCAGCTTTTCCTTCTATTGTTTTTCAAGCAAGGCCATCTTTGTCATAAATGTATTAATTCTTTGGAGAAACTTTCTGTGCTTAGTTTACTTTTCTGCAAAACAGAAGAAGGAGCTATGAGAAGGAAAAAAACACACATCCTGACAGTAAGTTAGCAGCACTGCGCAACAAATGACACAGTGGAATAACACAGGTCAAATGGATTTGGACATTTCAGTCATGCGAGCGGCATGCTAGCTTACACTTCATGCTGATTATATCACAGACTATCTGCTTGTTCGTCACATGCTTTGTGTCAAAGAGCTTTGGACTGGATAACCTTATATAACAACACACTATTCTGCTCATCTGCTTAATCTGACCCACAGTGGATAACACTTTTTTTGGGATGGGGTAGAGGCAGACAATTTTCCAGCTCCAATCCTAATACTTGCTCTGTATCCCAATCCCTCTTTGGCCTCAACAATATGTGTCCTCATCTGTCATTCACTTTGACAAACGTTCTCGTAGAGGAACACTAACTCCTGCCTCTTCTTCTGTCCTTGGCATTGCCAAGTTGCCCAGACCACTCTCCTTATCCCACTTAACATTGTTATATTGTTAACATGTCAATACTCTTTCTCAATGAGTGATTCTCCTATTGTGTTCACACATCACAACAGGAAACACTGATGGCAGGCACTTCGATTGGAAGCCGCATGACACACTTTAAGCCCCTCGATCCTTTTTTTTGAGTGTCGTGAGGGCTTTTTCCTACCCACCTCCCATAACAAAGAGCCTCCCTAAATTTATCACGCTAGAGAAACCCCTTTAAGTTAATTACTCGGCACCAAGGACAACAACACTGATGTGTGCTGACACGAAAACACTCAGGGTGGACAGGGCCGAGCGACTGTGAAGCCGGGGGGCAGTCGCTGTCTCAGTCAGAGCATCTCTGTGAGAGTGCTGCAGCACTCAGTGGGCAAAGAGCAGAAGGGGGTGAAAAAGAGAGGGCAGGCCTGCTTACAAAGGGTAAAGAAAACACTCCTGAAAGAATGGCCCAACCACTGGGTTACTGTTAAGAATTAGCGTATGTGAAGGCAGTTTTGTCAGTCCCAACCCCTTCATGGCCTATTGACTTTTTGCAGGCTCTGACCTGTGAAAACCTGTTTAGTCTCTTCTTGCAAAAAAGCTAATTGTGCTTAACTGGAAAGGGTTAATACTCCTGACACACTCACTATGGATAAAAGCTGCAAGGAGATAAAATAAAATTCTCATTAACGGGACGAGAAGAGGAATTCTATCAAACCTGGCCCCTTTTTTTATAGGCCACTTCAATCATAATGGCTCAGTTCCACTCAAGTAAACCGGCTGAAATCCAACAGAATGACAAAAACACAACAAGAAATGTGTTAAATAAATAAAGTGCATGATAATCCTGGCTCCAGAAAACATTTTAAGATGGATTTAGTGTATTGGGGTCAAAATATTAGGATGTTAAAAAGTGTTTAGGCGTTACAAAGAAGTGCATTTACTCATCAGTGACTTATTCTATCCCAGCCAGGGAAACATCTTTCAGACAGTGATTAGAGAGGGGCTTTAGCATGCTTTTTAGTACTTTATAATCTCTATACATTAGAATACTTTTGTTTCTAATCCTAAAAAAAGAAAGGCTTGAAGGACACCTGTGTTGTGCAGTGTGACCTACCCAGATCTCCTTGAACACTGTTGTCATGAGAGGTCCTGCTGGACGTGGTGGAGTCCCCATCACTGGGCCAGATTTGGCCCGTTTTGCGGACCCCAACGATGGAGGCCTCAGACACCATCACCTGCTGCTTCAGACGTTTCTGAGACAGGGGTGTGGGTGGGCTGCTGCTGTCAAAGGAGTGCTGGGAGTGCTGGGAGGGTGAGCGGCTCTTGTCCCTGTACATCTGGTAAGTGGTGGGGCTGGGAGACACGTGGCTGGACTGACCTGAGGAGAAGTCCTCCTCGCTGGATGTTAAGTTCTCGTTGGAGCTGCAGTCTGGTGTGTAGCCCCCCCCTACATCGTCGAAGCTGCCGGGAGAGTAGGAGCGCCTCGGCCAGGTGAGGTGTGCGTCCTCCTCTATGCTGTGGTCCCTAATGTGGATGACTCTAGTGTCCCCGTCAGCCATCATTCCCCCAACATACACACTGGTGTAAGGCTGGCACTCTGCTGGCTGCCGCTCAGACTTCCCCCCTGTGGAACGGAGCACACTGTCTTTCAGGAAGTGTGGGTGGACTTCGGCGTCATCAAATGACCCATTGTAGCTGCAGTTCCCCTCAGTGGATCTGCCTCTCTGCACAGCCTTGCTGATGTCCCCCGTGGCGGCTGAGAGGTTCCCTGGGAGAGAGTGCAGGGACCTCTTACGCTCCATCTGCATGGCCTGAGAGCCCAGGGTGCTGATCTTGTCTGAGACCTCCCTGTCGTTGACTTTGACCAGCCCTCGCTCATGATGGTACTCCATGTTCACATAGAAAGGTTTCTCCTGGCCACCCATCACTGACAAACCTCTGCCATCCCCGGCTGTGTGAGAGTTGGCTCTCCTGATGCGCTCAAAGTTGGATCTGAGAGCTGCCACCGAGCCTGTGCCCAGCGGGAAATCAGGAATCTCTGAGTCCTGTCGGACGGGTGACACCCCACCCTTCTGTTTGGCCGGGGATGCACCATCCACCTCTCCTTCAGGATGCGGTTTACATCTGGCTGTCTTGCCAGGTCCTCTTAGCTGCTGCTCCTCCACGGGTGCCTCATTTGTGGGGGTCCTCTGGCTCTCTGGGCCACCGGACAGGTCTCCGTCATTTGTCTGGGGCGTCCTTTTAAATCCCCATCGCTGGCCATCATAAGACTTCCTCTCTTTTGCGAGCAGAGTCTGCAGGTAAATCATCCGAAAGCGCTCCTTGTTTACTTCCTTCTCCAAGTGCCTGATGGATGACTTGCATTTGTCCAGCTCCTGTTCAATGCCCCCCATTGAGGTCAGGTCCATGCAAGGGGGATCAGACTCTGGGAACTGGGCTTTCCATGCCTCCACAAACCCCACTGGTTCGACCATTGTTATTACTCTGACATAAACTATTCAACAACAACACAAACATGCACTTCTAAAGCACAAACTGGACTCAACTGTTTACAACTTAAAGTGTCCATAGTGCTACTACAGTACAGAAAGGAAGAGTGTTCTCCAGAGTGAGGAAGGGTCCACTTTACAGGGAAGAAAGCCTGTTAGTTCAGTCTTTACTCACAAACACGAGAATGAAATCCTGCAGAGGAAAGATCACGGGTCCAACCTCTTTACGCCTTTTGACATAGTCCAAGAAATGTGAGTTTATCCTTATTGTCGCACTTGCTCCCTTCTGGTGCTCGTCTATTCTCTGGAGATCCTCTGTCTTCCTCTGTGTTTGTGTTTGTGTGAGATTGACTCGCAGCTCTCTGGTGTTTTGGCTCTCCGTCAGCAGTGTCTGCAGAAAGAGGAGGGGCTATATGGATGTGATTTACACTCCAAATAGATAAACACAAAAAACAATGAGGATTTGTCAAAATGCTGTCCCTGATCCAAAACAGTTTCCCAGGAAAAGCTGATCCCGACCAGAGGAAATTCACCAGAACAGATGTTCCTGAAGAAATGTACCTATGACAGCTAGAAGACCCCCACGGTCTCATAAGGGAGATAAACTGACACTTTAAAGGCAGAAAACGTCGCACGGAGGGTCGAACAGGAAGGTTTGTTCGGGAAGGTGTTGTCTTGAGGCTGTTACAGTTCAGGTGGAAGAAGAAAAACGAGGTCCCGACTTTGAAAACAACTATCCTTTTGTTGCTTGCTCAAACCCAGCCTTGGTTTTTATCCTGTAAAAGAAACCAACTAGCTTAATATTTCCCTCCTGCCCAGCCTTGCCTGTAAATATGCCTCTTTCTGACACAGCACACTTGTCCTTTCAGTGGTTAATCCTACCAAAGTTCATTGTGTTGCAACGTGAAGCCGAGTCTTGTGAAAATATCGCCATCTGACGGTTCAAAAGTTCAGGCCGACAGAGGGGTGCGTTCAAGTACACAACGTGGAGCATCTCCTCCAGAAGCTGTAACTGGTAACTGTGCACGGCATGGTTCGCAGTAATGCAGCATTTGGGGATTTAATACTATCTAGGCGTGTTATTGTTGCACTTATGCAGTTTTTTTTATCTACCATTAAAGGTGAAGAGAAGATACATAACTGTCAAAACACATTAACTCTTTTATGAACACATTTTCAAATCCTTTTATTTTATTTTAGCTGACAGGAATTGAACCTGGTTTCATATTAAATTAAATATAATTATAACCGCACACAACAGTAGGTCTCTGGTGTTTTACCTTAGCCAGCGTTTCGACCACAAAGCACACATTGTTGACTTTTCATCGTTTCTGTGCTCGTCTGTCAGTCGAATCAAGCGACAACGCAATTTGCGCACATTTAGCGCAACCCAACTCGCTTTAACGCTCGTCAGCGCTACTTCCTGTTAGCAACCAACCCGTGACGCCTCCGTGGTTTCCATGGAGCTGTTGACAACAGCCGCTGCAGTTCTGTCCGCTAGTTAGCAAGTTCAAGAGTTAACAAGGCGAACTAACACATAGCAGTTATATTGGAAACTTGTCTTTATCATTTGTTAACGGTTGTTTGCCACCGTCTCCAGCAAGTCGGGTATATTGTTTTTAAAGGTTTCTGTGCAGGTTGGATTTCTCATTAGTCGACGACAGAGAGCTAACGTTAGGTAGCCAAACGTTAGCTAAGCTGGCTAATCCAGTAAAGAAGATAAATGATTAGCTAACTTAACTTACAGCAGGCAAACTAGTTTCATATTGTTCAAGATGAGTGAACAGCTGAAATTCATCGTTGAGCAACTCAACAAAGACCCGTTTAAGAAAAGCTTTAACCTCATCACGTTTGACTCCCTGGAACCGATGCAGCTGCTGCAGAGTTTAAACGATGTTCTGGCTGAAATAGACCCAAAGGTGGGACACTAACTTCAACGACTGGGCAGACTGCAAACAGTGCATAACGTTGTCCGCCAGTGTGTGGTGTTCATGAATGACTGTATGTATTGTTGTTCTTGTCTTTAGCAAGCTATAGATATCCGTGAAGAAATGCCTGAACAGACCATAAAGAGAATGTGTGCCCTGCTGGGGATGCTGAAATACAAACCTCCTGGCACCCTCTCTGATGTGTAAGTAAATATATTCAGTGAGAATTTAAATTCTTCATGTGTTAAGGCATTTTTGTATGTATGTCTGTAATTTCATCATATGCTCTCCTTCCCTCATGCAGGAGCAGCTTTAGACAGGGTTTGGTGTCAGGCAGTAAGCCCGTGGTGCACCCCATCCTCCACTGGCTCCTGCAGAGGGTCCCTGAACTCAAGAAAAGGGCTTATTTGGCTCGCTTTCTAGTCAAACTGGAGGTGCCTGCAGAGTTTCTGCAGGATGATGTTATCAATGACACCTATCACCAGGTGGGCAACATATTACACATTTCATTAGTGCTGGGCGTTAGATCAAGTGTGATACTGATTTTAATTTTTATGTATGATATACATTTTTTATATATCGCTATACCAGTGTATAGTTGAATGCAGTGTTTTTGCTGTGAAGACTTCTACAGTTGGAGCTGTGTAACTTGTATTGACTGCATACCACACTCACCAAGGGTTATAACTTCATAACACAACAATTAATAACCCACTAACCAACTAACTCTCAAGGGCAAACCACAATTTGTGACAATTTATTTATGATTTACTTGCAGTACAACATCTGGGTAACTGTAAATACTTAAATGCTTGGAGTATTTTAGGTCAGTTTATAGTGTTTACAAGAAAAGATATTTTGTTATGAAGCTAATGAAGTTAAACTTGTTGGCATATCTTTTTTTTTACTACGTTGCAGTTTGCACAATAAAAACTGTCATGCATTCAGATACCGTCACTGAATCATTTTGTGGGACCAAGAAAGCCCTAAAGTAAAGCCTTCAGTATATACTGTACATGATGGCATCTAAATGTTTTTATACTCTATGTACTTTATGACAGTAGAATAAGCCACTATAAACCTTTGTATAGGCCCAGTCATGGGGAAACAAAATACAGTGAGGGCCGTGACGTACCGTGAAACCGCCAGAATCTTAAAAAACACTGATACCGCCCAGCGCTACGTTTTATTTCCTAGTTTTTGAAATTGCTTTTAACCTAAACAGGTTATGCATTAATGTTGTGTGTTTGCAGTACGAAGAGCTGGTGGAAGGTTTTAAAACGTATCACAAGGAGTGTGAGCAGCTGAGGACTTCGGGCTTCTCCACAGCAGAAATCAGAAGGGTAAAAAATCACTCAAAGACTCTTAACAATCACTGTTTATTAGAGGTTATTAATGATAAACTTTACTCAGTAAAAGACTAACAAAATGACAGGAGTTGTGTTTTTTTGTTTTAACTTAGTGAATAATATGCTTAGTTGATAAAATACAGTAATATAATCCCTTTTATCTCCAATAACAGGACATTAGTGCAATGGAGGAAGAGAAAGACCAACTAATCAAACGTGTGGAGAGGCTGAAGAAGAGGGTAAGGCAGGCTGTTCCCTCCTTTCGCTCTTCTAATGCTTGGAAGGCTTTAGGATTCGCTGAGGAATGAAAACATGACCTCAGACATATATTATCAGCTTCTGTAATGGACCTGACTGGGATTTGACAGGCTGCATGGCTGTCTTAACAAGGTTGTAAAGTAATGAGGTGTTGATTTAACAGGCCTTACTTGCAGGCTTGCCAAAAGGTGAAACCTGACTCTGTTTAGACGTGCTTGGTTATTCCTGCCGCCCTGTAATCAGACATTGTCATGTTAACTTGTGCATCCACTAGGTGGAGTCAGTGTCCAACCATCAACGGATGCTGGAACAGGCCAGACAGCTGCGAGTGGAGAAGGAGAGAGAGGAGGCACTGACTCACCAGAAGCAAGAACAGAAGAACCAAGTAAATGCTTCACATTCACAATCATATTTGCTCACCTTAGTATTATTCACTAACACATCATAGACAAGTTCAGCATTATGCTCTCTGCTGTGCTTTGGAAGACTGGAAAGAAACAATAACATGTAGTATCTCAGGTGTTGTAGCTCTTTTTTCTCAAATATTACCATATGATTAATAATTTTCAAGAGATTATAAAGGGGTTTGAGAAGAACCAGCATGTGTTAGGAGACTTTCTTATACTTTAATTGAGACGTTGAAGAGAGCTGGAAGAAAACGAATTATAATATTGATAATTCAAAATGTGAAACAAAAGCACTACTTCCAGATCCTCAAACGTGCCGGTTTTCTCTTCTTCAGTGATATCACACTGAATTCACTTACTGAATCAAGCAATTTGAAGATAATCTTCAATGTACATTGTTCGCTATTTTCTGACATTTTATAGACCAAACAATTAAAGGACCAGTGTGTAGGATTGAGTGGTGTAGTTGCAGATTACAACCCCCTCGTCTCACCCTCCCATTCCAAGCATGTAGAGTGTTTAGTTTGTCCGTTCTGGTCTACTGTAGAAACAGGACTCTGTGGAAGAGGACCTGTAATGAAAACACAACGTTTCTTATTTCCAGGGATTATACACTCAATCAAAACATACCTACAAATATTACTATATATTCTGTTTCTGCCAATAGATCATCTTAAATGTTACACGCTGAACCTTTAATGTATTAACCAAGAAAATAATCAGAAGATGAATCACTAATGAAAACAGTTGCTACTTGCAGCCCTAATGTTGTACAAACTCATTACCATTGGACACTGAATGTTAATGACCCCACATTACCTGTATCAGTAATCATTTTGTGTGTTCAGCTGTTCCAGGCAGAGCAGAGACTGCAGAGAGCACAGCAGCAGTTGAAGGATTTGCGACAGGCAGCAGCAGATGCCAATCCAGAGAGTGAGTACCCTCTGCTGTTGCCTCTGCAGGGCACAGCTGGATCGGTAGTTCAAGGACACAGCAGAGCGTTGGGGGGGCAGGGGGGGTCTCTCAGATAATAGGCATTCATCTTTTGAGATCCTCTAATTATACTGATCTTTGAAGTGCTACAATAGAGCTTATCTGATGTTGAAATTGTCTCCTTTTGTTCTCATCTGGTATTGGGCTCTTCAGCCAGAGGAGAGATTTACACATTTACAGTTTCTAAAATGACCTACGCAATGCAGACGAGGGTGGAGCTGCACAATTAAAGTCACTTTTGTTCAGAATGAGTCATTTTCGCGAAGTTTCAATGTCAGTACAATATATTCCTGTTTCTTTCATACGCTTTGTGGCTTTGCATGTAGAAGTGATATTCAGCTTTTCCGAAGCAATCAGAGCTGTGGAAAGCCTGATAAGGTTTCAAACACATTAAGCTCAAAGTGCTTAATTAAAAGCTCAGTCTCTTTCAGGCTTAATGAAGAGGCTTGAAGAGGAGATCAAGATCAACTCCTACATGGTCTCTGAGAAACTCCCCAAAGAGCTGGAGGGTATGAGGCGCACAGTGCAGTACCTGCAGAAAATAGCGTCAGAGCCTGCCATGGGCCAGGCTGATCTCCAGGAGCTGGAGGACAAGGTCAGGACGTGGTGTGGTGGTGTTCAGCGTGTATACCTCCGTACGCTGCTAAGTTCTGATGTTGTTCTGTAACTGTCATGTTCACAGATCAAAGAAGTCGATTCTCAGATAACCCAGCTGATTGAGAAGAGGATGATGAGAAATGACCCCATGGATGACAAACTGACCCTTTACAGGCAACAGGTGTCGACTTTATTTAATTTCTTTGATGTCTTTCATCTTTTTGTGGGTTTTGTCTTGTGACATCAGACCCTGTGGGAGCTCACTGTGATGTAAAAGGTGCCCTGTGGAGTTTTCTTGTACACAAACAAAAGTTATGTTTACATTCAGTGTTTCTCACCAAAACCTACTGTGATCCTATCCTTGAGCTTTAACAAATGCACCGAACGCATTTCCTTCCTTCCCTCATAAACCATTTGGAAAGCCGATTGTATGAATGCATAAATACAATGAAAAAGACATAGATGTTTATTTTATGATACACTAAAAAAGTAAACTAGTTTTTACCACAAGCTCCTAGTACTCATTTCAGCTGAGTATTCACAATATTTCTTCCTGGCACAAGCTGAGTATCATCAGAGTAAAATGTGTCCATATCTGTTTTCTGATAATGAATATAGCAACTTTTATTTTTTAAAAATAGTTCTTTTAATCTTGTGATCAAAAACTCTGAAGCCGCTCTGTAAATACTTTTTGGATAAATATAGCACCACCATATCAATTTCAGACTTAAATGAACAATTTCTGGTTAGTCCTGCCCACATCTGGTTTAAGCCCCACACATTCAGAGTATGGCTACATATACAGATAATTTAGTTGGTTAAAAAGATACAGACACAGTTAATGATGTACTCATCCCTACTAACTACTATTCTCCCAATCAAGTAGAGATCTAGACATGTTGTAATACATCCAAAATACTTGAAAGTCACATGTACTCCTCTGTCGTTGAAATACAGAATCTACTATTGAATATGCCTGTTTCTTACATCACTGAAAAGTCTGTTCTCAGTGTTCATACACTGGAGGTCTCTGTAGTAGCAGCTGATATTTATTTCCCTTTTCTTTCCCTAATAATTTCCCCATTACTCATTGAATTTACCCTCCCACGGGTTAACAATCACCCAGCTGAAATTCTTTAGTCATGTTTGTATATCTAATGTAACATTGCAGGCCTCCATCATCATTCGAAGGAAGGAGTCGAAGGCAGAGGAGCTTCAGGAAGCGAGGGAGGAGCTGGCCGCTGCAGAGAGGGATCTGAGGCAGAGGAGCAGCCAGGCACGAGTGTCAGATGGGGAAGAGGTCATCCGGGGTGATGAGGTACACCGTAGGAAGTGCTTCTTACAATCACAAAGTAATGTAATCTCTCTATATCAGCTATCTTTAAATTTCCTTGAAGCTGTGCTGATCTTATTAGCTGGACATACAATTTGCTTCGGAGAAGAATTTTACTGCCAGTAGCCAAGAAAAGAATCATTTTCTTCATGATTCTCTTCTTTGTATTTGAGGTAACTGCTAACGTCACCTACAGGAGCTCCAGCGTTATCTAAGGGAGCACTAGTAGATTTGCAAACCGCGGAAAACACAAGAGGCTATTTCTGTTCTTATCCAAACACGGACGGGCTCACTGTCTAATGTTACTTATCCCTTTTCCTTACTCTCCCCCACATTCCCATGCAGAGCCAAAAATAGCACACAACAGAGAATATCCAGAACAAGGAACTGCACTGGACAAACTGCCTGAAAGTTGGCCTTTTCTCTAATCTTTAGTGTAATCAGTCTCCTAATGCAAGTCAGTTGGACACATTAAACAGACGTTGGGCATAAAACCTTTGTCTTTATTTATATCCCATGACGAGGATGTACTCCCCCTTTCAGACACATGGCAAAGTCTACTCTGAGCTGTCACGTTGATGAATAGAACTAAACTATTGACAGGGAGGGAAAAAAACTGAGAATTGTTGCACGTAGGTCGGAAAGCCTTGAGCAAACACATCTTCTTTTGCCTATGCATACATTACGCTTACAGTTGAAGAGTCGACTATAAACAGTTCTGCATTAGCAGAGGGACACTGATAGATAGGGGCTGTGCTGTGACCATATGCACTGTGTGGATGAGAATTTTTATAGCCTGGTGTTTGACGCACATTGATATCCATGAGGTGAGCACTGGGCTCTCTGCTGAGGCAAAAGGTGGCAGCATGTCTCAAATTGCAATAGCTTTCTCCCTGCTCTCCCCTTTGTCCCGTGGGGCTGTCGTCAGTCCCTGTGGATGGTGCATGTTCCAGGCAGGTTGTTCTGAAGCTGACCCTGACCTCTGAAGAAGAGCAATTTCTGGACGCAGACATTTATTTAACTTAGCATTTTAGCATCAATAGATTTTTGCCACAACACTTTGATTTATGATTAGTTGTCAGCTATCACATGAATTGCCAGGTATTTTGTTAATCGATTCATCATTTTGAGTAATTTTTTTTAGAAATAAATGATTTCAGCTGCTGAATATTTTTGCATTATAGTAAATAGGATATGTTTGGGTTATGGACACAACACCAACCTGTGCTTTGGGACACGTTTTTCAAACAAATAATCGATTAATCAAGAAAATGTTCAACAGATTAGTTAATAATGAAAATAATTGTTAGTTGATAATGACAAGACTAAAGCACACAGATTGTGGACAACCGTTTCTGGCCCCTCCAATGCTTTTTATGGTTTCTACAAATTTACAAATTGGTCAGAAAATGTTCTGGGTTATTTCAAAGCAGATGTTCTTGTAGCAGAAACAAAACGAAGGCTTTCACTGTCTCTGGAAAATGACGGAGGAAGTTAAATATCAGTGGAAAAATTGCTTCTTACGTGTTCTTTTCAGGAAGGGAAGAGAAAGCAATCATCTGAGCAGGGATGTGGAGGTGAAGTAGCAAAATATTTGTGACAGGAAGAAATAATAAGAGATGTTAAAAAGAGATGTATAAGACAGAAGGTCGCGCGTATTTCGACCGCTGCTGACGTCCTACATCAATTACACCCATATATTACAGTTAATTTCAGACTGACTGACATACCTCTAAGTCTGACTGAAATGATGAGAGGGAGCTGTTTGTAGAGACAAAGAGGGCCCTTGAGAATTTACATGAATGAAGTTAATGGAAAATATTTTGTCAAACAGAGCTTATCTATCAGACTCCTCCGTAGTTGGAGGCCATCGGCCGCGGTGGAGATGATCACTTTATCAGAGGTATTTTCCATTCTGCTGGTTATGTGTCATCACATGCCACCCACCAACTGCAGGGTCTCTCTGAGAGGGATGACTACATCTGCTCGTCATTGGTTGGCCGGTAACACGAAACCACTTTATCAAGCAGCCTCATCACACTGGTTAAATTTAGTCTTACTGCAGTCAAGACACGAGCACTGATCTGAGTAACCGCCTGCTTTTTCTTCAAATACTGTGATGATCTGTATTGTAACTGGTTACGTTTTAGTTTGAAAGGAATACACTGCTACTGTACAGCGTGTTCTGCACACTTATTCGGAGTATCTGCTGCACAATTCATTTTTCTGTTGACTTGTCTATATGCGAGTGTGTGTTGGTGGGAACATGTCTGAGACAAGTGGTGCTGTTACGACTGTGCTGTCGGACAGTTTAACAGCAGTTGTTTTGGGGACACACTGCCGGGAACACTAAGCAGTATTATTCTGCTGTGCTAATTCCTCTCTCAGCCACGTCTGCCCTTGATGTCCCAAAATACACAAAGAATAAACGTACACACACACACACACACCCACACCCACCCACTCCACTCATTCACTCACACACACATCAAACTTCATGGATCCCCAAAGGACGTGAAGCACATTCTGTGATTTCTGGGGCTGTTCTCCCGTGTCCATGTTCATTTATAGCTGCTCTTGACTGTGGAGGAGTTTCATTGTGTCCCGACAGACAGCCAGGGTGGGGAGCGACTGAACATCCACAAAAAGCAGTTATTCTGCCAGATGAAGCTGTTTGCCGTGCCTAGCTGGCTGTGAATCTGAAAGGATCGAGTGACTGTTTCAGATCATGCCATGGCCCCCAGTCACTGCTGTTCTCTAATCCCTTCCCTCCCCTGGCTCAACCCATTGTCTTCTCCTGTGGCCTTTCATAGTATCTCAGCTGTGCTGCACACCATGACGTTAAATATAAACTGTATTTTGGCCTCTTTCAGTGTATTTCCCAAAGAAGCATTTACATTTTCTTGCTTGTAGCAGCCACGTGAACACTGTTTTCACTGAAACAGCATTAAATGTTAAAGCTGCTATAATTGATACTTTTATATTAACAGTGGATCAAATAATTACATGTAAGTTAAAATGGTCACTTGTACTGACAGAGTTACAGATAATTATTTCAGTGAATATTTGACTGAAATTGAAAGAAGAAATGTTGCTCTGTAACTGCTGAATGTGTAAATAATCAATAGTTTGTCAACCAGTTCGCCATATGAACTCAAAAGGTAATAATGTGTCAGAGTTGTGTTTACAGCTTGTTTCCACTGCCCACAAAGTCAGCTAATGCAGGTTTAAAGACCTTTCAAATGTCAGTGTCAGTCAAAGAACCCACAGAATTTCCTTTGAAAGCACTGTTTAGTATTCACGTCTCTTAAAACTAATCTCAAGTGTTCTGTTTCTTTGTTCTTCAAAGCTGAAACGTTTGCTGGTGAAGTTGCGCAGCAAGGGAACAGTATACAAGAAGAAACGTCAGGAAATTGCTGAGCTGAAAGCAGAATATGGAGTCCTGCAACGGACAGAGGAAATTCTCAAAGAAAGACATGAGACCGTCCAACAGAAACTGGTAACTCTTGTCCTAACTCTTGTTTTTAACCTTCATGTAAACAAGCAGGCTAAACTAGTATTTACAGCAAGACGAAGAATCTACTTTAATATGCAGTCCATCTTTCAGGGTGCTACAGTACAAAGCAACAGTACAAGTGCTCTTGGGCAGTAGTCTTTTAAAGGTAGCGCTATTAATCATCACTTTAAACGGTACATATTCTACATGCACCACAGAAATCCTCCTAACTGCTCTTGCTGCCCTCCCGTAGCATTCATACTGTATCCCACCCAGCCCTCTCCCTGCACTCGTGCTGCCATTCCATATGTGCTGTTTCACTTGATCCCCCTCATTCACACAGTTTGTGTTAACACTGAAGCGGTAGAAGCTTCCTGGAAATGGCTTCACACCACTGTGCGGTTCCAGCACCTGACTTGTTGATAGGCTGTCTGACGCAGGCTCAGCTGCTATTTCTGATGGCCGCATCTGCTGCTGCTCCTCTGTCTGCATCCCACACTGGGTTTGTGAAAGCAATGAAAGTTTTCCTTCTGATCAAGAGAACTGCCCCTCTCTTTATGTGTGAGCCTCATTTTTCAGCTGGATAGTTCTTCATGCATTCTAGCGTTTTTGTTTCGGACAGGGAGAGTCAAATGGCTGATCTGATGAGTGGGTAGCTCTCTTACTGTAACTGAAATGTGCTGTCCTGGTGTTACTTATATTATAAGACATTGACATCTTTGTGTTTAGAATCAGCAGCTACTAAGCTTCATGTGCAGCCAACAGGTATCTTGTGGCATGCTGAATATCATTTTCAAAAAAAGGAATTCCCCTTAAATTATAAAGTTGTTAATAACACACACACTGATGGTTCATCTTGATGTAGACATTTGGAATGATTCCCTTCGACTAGTGAACTTTTGAGTGTATTGTATGTGACCGTTTTGGATTTGTTCATGCGTGGATGAGTTGCCATGTGTCTCTGTTGTGTTCTTCAAGCAAACTATGGAAGCCGAAAAGGGCATCTCCGGCTACAGCAACACTCAGGAGGAACTGGAGAGGGTGTCGGCCATCAAGAGCGAGCTGGACGAGAAGAAGGGACGCACACTGGATGACATGTCTGAAATGGTAACTTTACTGAGGTGGAATTGGGTGAAATCCACCCTCAACTTCATGTTTACTCATCACTGTAGATTACACAGCAACACCTGGAAAATCTATTGATGATTTTGTGGAGAGTGAGTACTATAATATCCTACATTGATTGGGCAGTCTAAGACTACTGGGGAATTTTTGGGGGCAACATTAACTACATAGTAAAGATAGACTGTGGCAGTGCCCTTGTCTAACCCCCCACTGACCATTGAATGACTTAAAGCCTCGACAGAGCCATGGCTTAGTTTGGGTAATTAGACTGACCTCCCTCACTCTGTTAGGTCAGGACAACTTACGTCATTATCTTTATTATAGGCCTTTTTCACAGCAAACCTTTTCACGTGTCACAGTAGGAAAAACACAGGTGTAAGTAATAAAAGGAAAGATGGCTGAATTCCATGTAGCTGCTTCGGTTTCAGGGTCCTGGCATTATGCATGTTGGTCGTGGCTTACTGGGACACTTGAATAGAACAGAGCCATTGTTAATATTATTAGTAGCACCTGTCCTTGTCTGCTGTGAAAAGGTCTGTTAGCACGAGGCATTTGGTAACCTGATGTAATTCCCAATGTAACTCCACCCAACTTCTCTTAATTAAACTTAAAAGTTGGATTAGTAGTGTTTTTATCTTGTCTGTTAACATTCTAACACTCTATTGTTGTCAGTAATAGGCAAATACAAGGTAAGTGCTTTACATTATCCCAGCATAGCTCACAGCTTCTGCCTTATTTATCACCTTGTCATCCTTTTGTGTGTCAAGGCCCAGAGGGAAGCAACTGATTAGGCCATGCTCCAAGTTGTAGCGAGTTTGTTGATCAGTTTGCCAGCTTACATTTGGCAAACTGCAGACCACTCCTAATGATGGACAATCCTGGCTCCAACCTGAAATTAGACCTTTACACTGGAACTTGGAAATGCACTACAAAGCCATAAATCTGAAAAATGTTTTAATGAATACTTAGCAAACGGCCTTAAAACCTTCACTGTGGCTATAGACACACTCCACACTCTTCTACTGAGAAATGTTGATCATATTTGTCAGATTTCTCCTGTCTGGTTGATAATGCTGACATCATCTCAGTAAATCATTACTCACAGTCGTATTACCTGCTGTGCTGTTTTCTCTGCAGACTTTAAATGTGTACAAAGTTGCAAATTTCAGCAAAAAATGCTATTTCCTCTCCTCTTAGTTGACATGGTGGTTATTGTAAGTTTCATGTTGTTTTTTGTTTTGTTTTTCGATTTAATGCAGTATGTGCTATGGACTTGGTTTTACAGGTGAAGAAGCTGAACTCAATGATAACGGATAAGAAGTCAGCTCTAGCACCAATTATTAAAGAGCTGAGGTCACTGAGACAGCGGTGTCAGGTGAGCATTGCCCGCAGTACAACACATCTTCTTCAAAGACTTCTCACACCATATCAGTTAGCCGAAAGCCATGATGAGTCATTGTTTATTTAGAAACAAATGGCGGGACCTTTACTGTGTGCCTGCAGGAAGAGTTAACTTGTTTTTGTGTTATCACAGACAGGGTCCATTAAGAATAATTTACATTGTCCATAAATAAATTGCACAATGGGAAATCCCCCCACACATCGCTGCGCTAAAGCGGAGGATTACTTTTTCCTACACGTGTTCCCAGAATCACTCTTCCATCTCGCTGGGTAATGTCTGCTAATGAAGAGCTGCAACAGGAAGACATAAATAGACTTTGTAAGAGCCTGTTGTAAGTTAAACTGCTCAAATGCCAGCTGTGATGTTATGTTGATGTGAAACAGCGCTGAGAGTATGACAAGAGGGTTGGAAATGGGGTATTTTATGTATTTGTCTCAATTGTCATACAGCGTACACTATGTTACATCCTTTGTTCCTGTGTATGAATGTTTGGATTCCTGTCTTACCAGGAAATAAGCCAGGAATATGAGGAAAAGAAGGCGCAATACGAAAGTTGTACTGCTGGTTTGGAGAGCAACAGATCGAAATTGGAGCAGGTATAGTTGATTAATAATTATCCTATACTAGATTGAATAAAGTCAATAATTTAAATATATTTCTCTATGCTTAACTAGCGTTCTTATTTTCTAATTACTTATGCATTAGCGACACACAATATGTCTTTGTTCTTGTTTTTCGTTCGCAGGAGGTGAAAGCATTGAGGGAGGAGACAGCGCAGGAGGAAAACCAATATCATTATATCAACTCCATGTCAGAGGCAAGTGTTTTAAAAAGATGAAGATGCAAACATTTTAGCTATTAGCCACAGTGGGTGTATCACCCATCGTTATCACTGTTCTGCCAATATTATAAAATTAGAATTGATACTCTGAACAGTGACATGCTACCCACACGGGTGCTGCAGGAGTGGATAAAATGTTGCAGTATTTTGCATGTGACCTGCTCCCAACCCTCCACTGTAACAATAAACTCAATCTCTCCATCTCTGTCCTCCACAGATTGTTGAGATGCAAATACAGCGGGCAGCTGAAGAGATGAAGGCCTACGTGTCCTCTGATCCACAAGAGAGGAAGAAGGCCATCAGGTGAGCATGCTGAGCCTGGCCAGGCAGCTGCTTCACAAGACCAAAACCCTTTCTTCCACATGAGGCTCTTATTACAACACAGTCAGTTTAGCTGCTGTCACTTTGTTCTCTCATACAGCACAGCGAATGTGTCAGAAACTCATTACCACACCTTGTGATATCAAGATATGCTGATACGCCACACCTTTTTATTTAGAAACGCTGGGTGAGATCAACATGTGAAATTGCAAAGGCTTGAATTTGAATTATATCCTTCTGCTTTTTTTGTAGGGAAGTGTACATGAAGAACATTTCAGAACAGGAGTTACTTGGCAAGGTGAGAAAAGTTGTGTCTGACCAAGCAGATGCCATGGGTCAATACTTGCAAATATCTCTTTATTCTGTCAAAAACAAAGCTTACAGTAATGTAGATGGATTATATATTTTTTGTTAACGTGAAATGGCCTCTTAAAGGGCCAGTGTGTAAGATGTAATGGCATCTATTGGTGCAGTTTGCAACTTCACCCTCCTCTTCCAAGCATGAGGATGAAACTATGGTGGCCCAGGACACGCAAAAACATGGCCCTATATAGAGCCAGTGTTTGGTTTGTCTGTTCAGGGCTACTAAATGTTACACACTGGACCTTTAATACAATCATTCAACTGTCATCAGACTAGTTTTGTAGAGATAAGTGTCATTTTAAATAGTTCCTTACTGATCACTCTTTTCCTTTGCTGACTCCAGAAGTTACGTGAGAAGCAGAAGATGGTGAGGGAGAGCCACAGCGCCAACATGGAGCAGATGAAGTTGTGGCGTGACCTGGAGCAGCTGATGGAGTGCAAGAAGCAGTGCTTCATAAGAGCTCAGAGCCAGGCATCTATTGGTCAGGTCATCCAGGAGGGAGGAGAGGACAGGCTGGTGCTGTGAGGACACATGTAGGGCGGGGTCACCCACAATGCACCGACTACACTATACCTTCCTGTAACAAGTCTAGATCTTTTAACAATATAGTTGTTTTATGTAAACTGTTTATGGTCTTCCCCTCCATCTCGCCTGTGACAGACTGCCATTGAGTTTCACATGATAGTTTATCTTGGGTACGAACCAGACTGGTAACTTCAGATGATGACACGGTCTGAGATCCTTTTGAGAATCCACAACGTAAACAACACGTGTATGTAGAGGTGTTATCTGACACTGGGTTTTCACCGTCTCTGGCCCCTGGGGACTCCATTTTGGCGACATCTTTAAGAATACATGTTCGATCAAAGTGTCCAAAGATAACAGCATACAAAGTGGTGCACTTGGGATGTGGCCTCGGTCAACTATTTCTGGCAACCACTACCATGACCTTGGACAGGGTGTCTTGCCAATTTTGGAATTCACTGGGACCTCCGTTGCTTGAACAGCACAGATGAAATAGTCATATTATTCTGCTTGTTTCTATTCTGTATCACAACATACGATATTTTATTATGATAAATTTCAAGATAATCATTGATATTTAAGATGATTTTGGTTGTCAATGTATTTCTATTAAATGTATTTTATATTCATTTTGACTCGTTTCATGCTAGATGTGACGGATTTGATGTTGATTAAGAGCATTATGTTTGCTTTCTTTAACTTGAGTAAAGAAAGCAATTATTATTATTATTATTGAGTTAGTAATAAATATTAAGTTGCCTTTATATCATGTCATACATAAGACAGATGCAGTATACAAGAGGAAACCCATATATTCCATAATCCCACAATTATCTATGTGTAAATCAATTTTAAAATACATGTAAAGTCCCTGCACTGTCGTTTGATGACTTTTTCAGCAAGTAGCATAGCACATACTTCTGTCCATATAGACCATGTTTTGAGTGCCTCATGTTGTTCCCAACAAATGTCTTCATGGATGTTTCAGAATCCCACCCTCCCTCCCACACAAACTAAATCTGCTGTTGACAGCTGATGTTAGTGGCTCTTGTGCCAAACGGATCAAGTGTGCATTGTTAAAGGCAGCTTGATGTCCAACCGGGCAGTGCCATGTTATTATTGTTACAGCACCTTTTGCTTCTTGGGGACCTTATTAAGACGTGTTAACAGATGATGCACGCCAGTCCTGTAAAACATCTGACAGTGATACTTACCCCCCTGAAGAACACAGTGTGGGGGTAGGGGGTTGGCCCTCTCACCTCTTTAGCAAATTGGCTGCCTTTACAGTTATTATGCAGATGTAGCTGATTAATCAGGTATACAGTCTGGTTTTATTGATTGTGTCTAACAAATAAGACTCTCGTATGTTATCTTGACGCACTGGTTTGTTTGAAAATGTCCCTCAGTTTTTGTCCTTAGCACACTGTAAATCCCTTGTCAGGCTGGGACATTGATCTGTGGCCCACCTTTTTGTTCTCTACTCTAAGCCTTAACTCATTCCTGCCAAAGGAAAACATGGGCCCCCTAGTCAAGTGTAAATGAGGTAGTAATACAATAAGACATTGGGCCTCTGTAAATTAGATTCCTGTAGTCAGAGGGAAATGTGTAAAGTTGTTTGTGAATCCATACAAGCAGGTACTGTGCTTTTTAAGCTTCCAACACCAGTGTGGCAAAAGTGTTTCAATGTGGGAACAGTAGTGACACTGGTTCTTTCTCTAGCACAGTTAACGCTGCCATAAATGGAGACTATGGAAGCCGGGAGTGGCTACATAAAAGTCATTAAAAAAAGTAAGTAAGAAAGAAAAGAGCCGCATTCTACATATACTGCGTCATGTGGTTTTTCATTTAAAAAAATGTGGCAGAAGCACAGATAACAGGAATAGCACTCTATATTTTCATCACAAACATAACGTACAGTGTAGCCAGCCATTTACGTTAAAGCCGACATGGCGGGCAACACAAAACACATTAAAATAAATAGAAATGGCCCCTAGCTTTCTGGTTTAGAAGAGCAAACTCAAGGTTTGAATGGGAGCATGTACTCCAGCTTGCTATTTCCTGGTTGCTTCCTGTGTTTTTTCATGTCTCCCTGGTTTTGAACGGAGCTGACACCGCTCGTCCAATGATATTAGTCCACATGCAGCGCAGGGAAGAGGGGCAGCAGTGAGGCACTTTGATAAAAGCAGACTGTCAGCACCGTGTGGAGCAACAGAGAGCTGCGCCACGGTGAGGCACGGCACGGCACGGCTACACAGCAGAAGACTGGACCGGGTGAATGCAGTTCTTAACACAGGACACTGCTGCAGACACTTTTCCACCATTTTCGGAGATAGGAGGACGCTCACAGTAATCTTCATCCACACAGAGAGGAGGAATTTGGCTCCACACAACATTTTCTTCCGTAATTCGCGGGAAGAAAATCTTAACTAGGGGCCAGGGGGACACGTTAGACCGCGGTCAATAGCTGTCGATAGCTACCCGAGTGTTAATGCTCAGCTCTCAGTTCAGCAAACTCCTCATACCTTTGAAAGTATCGGCAGTTTTTAAAGAGCCACAAGGTACCATACGGCAGTATTTCGTGTAAAGCTGTGTTGGAAGGAGCCGTCTGTCCGCCATGGAAAACGCTCACACGAAGAGTGTGGAAGAAGTTTACAGTTATTTCTGCGTCAATGAAAGCACAGGACTTTCCCTGGACGAGGTGAAACGTCAGAAGGAGAAATGGGGCCTAAACGGTACGACAATTTACACTGTAGACCACCACAAACACCGCCGCTGTCCGTGAGATACGGTTAAAAAAATGTCTTGTCATTATTACATGTGCCCTGTGCGCACAGTGTTCAGGATGTGGGGTAAAAGTCATCCACCCGGCCGGCCGGTATCACCCGGCTCCGTGGAGCGATTTGGCTGACGTCATCACCGGTGACCTCGAGGGTTTCCCATCTCTCACATAGTAACAAATTAATCATTACATAGAGAGACATTGTTACATTGTGGAACATGGAGACTTTGTTACGTATGGTGACATTTACTGGGCATTGTATCACGGTTACACTGTTGACTGTGATAACACGGTTAAACATAAGCTCATGGTGACAATGCTGATTGTTTTGTAAAATATGGTGACATTGTTGAACACAGTAACCTTGTCGGATGATCTCAAAGCAAAACTGCAACACATCGGCCCCATGAGCCCGGAGATCCGGCTGGCATTTGACGCTGTTACCCTTCAGAGTTAATCTCTCTTGTCCCAGGCTTAAACAGCTGTTTTATATTAATATCACCTGGGAGGTCATGAAGGGTGTACTTCCCTCCCCTTAAATCACTTTGACCTTCACATTGCTTAGAGTTTTCCTATTGTGTAGTAAAGATGAAGGGAGTAAACTTGTATGCCATTGTTACAAGTGTAAAACTGATATATAAATACAGAGGGGGGGTTAAATATGGCTATACGATTCTTTCCTGTTTAAAAGTAAAACAAGTCCATACCCTCACTTCATCATTCAGTATCAGGATGTGAGTCAAAACCATTATCCAATCATCTAAAAGTGAAGTCAAACTGGGAATGTGGTGGTTTTGAAACCAACTTGTGTCTGAGATTTCGCCCCCTCATACAACATACTAACCTCTTGTTCCAGGAGTCAGTTCCCCATCAAGAAACAGGAACTGACAGGCATATCTCCAGCTGGCAGACATCAAAAATATGTATATTTATACACTGCTTATCTTCCTTTTCTTTTCTTTTTTTCACTGTTTCCTCTGCACTCCCCGGACTGACTGCCACATCTCTCCACACACAGAGTTACCAGCAGAGGAAGGTAATGACTACTGTCACTGATATTGTTACTGTCATATTCATAACACATTTCTGTGATGGATAATTGTTTTAAACCAACTTTTCTTGCTGCAGGGAAATCTTTGTGGGAGCTTGTCCTTGAACAATTTGAAGATCTTCTTGTTCGAATTCTGCTGCTGGCTGCATGCATTTCTTTTGTAAGTATATGTCACTAGATTTTCTTGCGCTGTTTGATAAAGCCTGTATTTTACACACTGTGGACTTTATGTTCCTTCATTTCTAACTTGAATTCATCTTTTTCCAGTGTCTCCTGTACTTGTGATATTGTGTGTTCAACTTAACATTCCCACCATCTCTTACACTCTAAATTGTCCAGTAAACAAGACAGATAATCAAAAGAGTGAAAGGAATATCAGTACAGGGCATTGCATCCTACAAACAGCTTTCCACCTCTGGCTGAAAGAGTGTTAGTGAAGTCAAAATTGCAGATGGGATTATTATTAAGCCCTGTGTGTTGAATGGCAGGGGGACAGTTTATGCAGCGCATGGTGCTGAAGTGTTAACGTCTTCAGTTTGTGTTACCCGGCCGGGGTTACACTCGCATATTAGAGAACTAAACAGCTGAGAAGGCTAGCGGCCCGTCTGAGGAATGGTGACAACAGCAGTAGCAGCATTGAGTTGCTATCACCATGTGCCAAGTAAGACATTTGAGTCGTCAAGCACGGTTGCTGTGTAATGACTTACCATGGTCCTCCCTCGGGAATCCGACTTTGAGTGCTAGACAGATAAATGTTTAATAATGGACTGCCATTATGTGCCTGCATCATCAGCGCGTGTTCGAGGCCATAGCTCAATCACATGAACATCTTGTTGTTGTGTTGTCATGTGGAAAGACATGGCTTCATGTACAACCGCGTTTTTATTTGTGCAATATTTGTATCACCAGATTTATGTGAAAAGCGCACATTTTTTTGGAAATGTAACTGCCAATTCGAGATCAAATTAAATTGATTATTGGCATTGTATGATGCATGATTCAATTGTGCAATTTGACTTTTTTTCACATTCTGTGAAACGTCTGCACAGTAGACAGTAGAACAGATGGCTGAAGAACATTTTGATAAGCGAGGCCCCCCTGTGTGTGTGTGTGTGGGGGTCGGTATGTAGTGTGCAGTGTCCAGTCAGGTGATACAGAGGTGTCAGTGGCTGCTGTCTGACAGGGGAACAGAGCACCACTCAAGACCAAATTTGGACCCTCACCCCTCAGTGGGAGGGCTCTCATCGGACAAACGCACATGCCCTTCTTAACACACAATCACTCCGTACTTGAATATAACTTAAAACGGTTGGCTAACTGCTGAAGTACTTTCTTAAAACTAAGTCTTTAAACTAGTACAGCTTTTCATTAGTTCTGTTTGCATAATTTAGTATGGTATTGAGAGATATTAAGGATTTACTCCTTTTTAAAAATGCATTACATTTAATGAGGTTAAGTGCTATAAATGTGTTTTATCCTTTGCATGTTTGTGTATAATTTAAGACTGAAACAATTAGTTGATTAGTCCTCATCAAGTAGAAATGTGACTAATTCTCTTCCAGCTTCCTCCAGTGTGTTGTCAGGTTTATATTATAGTAAACTGAATATCTTTGCGCCTCGGTCAGCCAAAATAAGTCATTAACAGCGTCACCTTTAGCTCTGTGACTGACATTTTCACTATTTTCTGACAAGTATAAACGACTAATTGATTATTTAAAAAAAATTAATTGCCAGATGAATCGATAATGAAAATGA